ATTTTTTAGTATTTGTAAACAGTGTATTGGTGATGTTGGAATATATACTAACCTTTTTTCGTGGGTGTCGTAAGAGGCAACAGAGGGAAACAAATCAAGAGATTGGCAGCACTGTCTTTCTGATAACGACTAAAAATAAAAATAAAACTGTGATTACCAATCCGCAAGCCTATTTGGATTAAGTTTTTTGTTTTTTTTTTGAAAGATGCCTTTCACGGAATACCAGCGTAAAATAGCAGCTTAACACTGCTCTGTTTCGTATGGTGATTGTAGGGAACCGGAGACCCTTTTTACTGGAAAAGAGGCATTCCATCTTAGTCCTCACGGGTGACAACGCATCTGCATTTTGATTCTTGATTGAGGATAGATGTAGATGTCTATGGGTCACAGCAACAACTTACCATCAGGTGGACTGTGTGCTCGTTTGTCAGCCTATCCAAAAAAAAAACAATGGAACGGCCATATAGTTTGAAAAATCGACAATTACATATGCTTTTTTTTCATTTAATTTAATGTATTTGTGGTCTGAGATATCTTTATTCTCATAAAGGTATACATTCACGTACATGATAATAGTTTAAAATATATGTTTTTTTTTGCGAACAATGGCACAAGCTAAATAACAAAATCATTTCTATCAAATGTTTTGACGGTAGTAACTTAACTGTTTGTTCGATACTCGGGCTGGAATACAAGTTAACAACCTTGCTACAAAGATTAAGCGTGACTGGATGTGGCTCATATAAGTGTGGTGTGTGAAATGTCTTTGTTATAATATAATGTTCGAGTTATTTAATGTACTTGTAAACCATATTTTGGACAAATTTTAGCTGCACTCCTTTTCCATGTAAAGTTTAACTAAGTATGCCAAACATTCCTCGGTGGCTTATAAAGGGGTACAAAATTGTCCATTTCACTTATTAATATATAGATATTGTACAAGACCTGATTAAAATATTTGAGCTATTTTTCAATCAAAGTTCATAACTTAGACCACAAAGTGGAGCGGTCGGCTCACTTAAGGTACGTAGTATGATTATGTTGCGGCACGTGCTTGGGCGGACTCGTTCAGATTAATAAACTTGCCCATTCTTCCGATTATCAAAGAGATTTTGACCGTTTTGCGTATAGATTCATAAAATACCTCCTTTGTGTAAAGGTTACTCTAGTGATATTATGACATCGGTTTTGTGTTACGGATTTAGAATGAAAACTTAAAAGAAAATAAAAAATCTTTTTGAGATTCTTGCGGGTTCTTCTGAAGACAAAGCCTTTTTCTAACATTATTTATTACGTAATTGTTGACAGATATATTTTACAAAGTATGGTAAAATTATTATATTCCAATGAAGTAAGCTACCGGTTAGCAACAAGTCGTATTGCTTGGATTGAAAGACAAAAATAATCTCTATATCTATCTAATATGTAAAAAATAATGTTTGTTTTTTGTTCATATTTTATGTGCCTTATCGTTCATCAGATTGCGCTAAAACTTTGTCAACTTATTGCTTGCACTTAAGCAAACCTCCTTAGTGACCGGCAATATGGGTTTCGCCGAAATCGGTCAGCTGGGGACCTTCTAGCGTATGCCACACACGTATGAGGCGAGGCACTCGAGAACAGTGGGGAAGCACTTGCTGTTTTGTTATGTCACGAAGGCCTTTGACAGAGTTTGGCACACTAGCCTTTTGGCTAAGCTTCCAGCGTACGGCTTATCCCCTGGTCTGATTGAATGGGTAAAGGACTTTCTGAGTTAGCGGTCTCTCCCGTTCGTCGTCGATGGCTGCTCATCCGATCCTATGGCGACTAACGCCGGGGTTCCTCAGGGGTCCGTTCTCTCCGCAACTCTCTTCCTGCTGCATATTAATGATCTGCTTATGCCCGGTATCTATGGGTATGCAGACGATAGCACAGTTGTTGAGAGATACCAACCAAGTCCTCGGGCCAGTCGGGATCAAATCCAGTCCAAAAGAGAAGCTATGGTAGAGCGTGTGAATCTCACACTACAGGCAGTCTCCGATTGGGGCGATGCCAATCTTGGGAAGTTCAACGCCTCCAAAACACAAGCGTGTCTCTTCACTGCAAAAAGGAGCCACTTCACCTTGGCTCCTTCTTTCCGAAATGTATCACTGAAATATACTGACCGCCTGCACTTGTAAGGGTTTGAAATATCCTCAAATTTGAACTTCTTTTTGAAAGGCCAAGGCAGCTGCAAGGAAGCTGGGAGTCCTTGCAAAGGTGCGGCGATACTTCACGCCGGGACAGCTGCTAACTTTATATAAAGCGCAAGTCCGGTCGTGCATGGAGTATTGCTGCCATATATGGGCTGGTGCTGCAAAATGCCACCTAGCAGCTCTGGACTCAATGAAAAGGCGTGCTAAGAGGCTTATTGGTGACCTGAATTTGGTTAAAACCAATCTTACCAGCCTCGAACACGGACGTAAAGTAGCCAGCCTTTCGGTTTTCTACAGGATGCATTTAGGAAAGTGTGCGCAGGAATTACATAATTTAATTCCCCCCTCTCCCTTCCACCATCGGACAACCAGACGTTCGACCAGTCTCCACCCTTTCGTTGTTGACTTACCACGCATTTGAACCAAACGGTTCGCCACGTCGTTCATCATGTGTACAGCAAAGGAGTGGAATAAATTGCCAGCATCTGTCTTTCCATCCGATTACAATCAAGGCAAGAGTGAATAGGCTTTTGTTAAGTCAGTGCGCTTCACCATCTTAGGCTGCATCACCACTTACCATCAGGTGGGATAGTAGATAAACGCTGGCTTAGTAGAATATTAAAAAAAAGGTTATAGGCATAGTACAATTAATTTAGTTATTATCATTTATTTGAAAGTCGTATTAATCAATTATATAACACGTTTATCAATAATAACTACTACGAAAGGAACTTCGTTCCAACCGAGTTTTCCACGACACACGTATAATTCTTTTAATTCCTTTTAGTTTTTAGACTTTTAATTTTTAATTAAACTTTAATATATTCAGCGGAGCAACTGAAAAAAAAAAGACTTACTAGGTGAATGTTTGAAATAATCAGTTAAACTAGTGTAAAATCATCTGCAAATCACCAGTTGTTGCAGTTATTCATGGGCGGCGGTAGTCACGTACCATCAGGTGAGCCGCATGCTCGTTTTCTCCCTCTTATATATAAAAAAACGAAACGATATTTTAACCTATACTTTGCAATTACAAACAATCCAGACATGAAAAAAAATAATAACGTAATTTTTTATTATATAATAATATATTACAAAGGGACATAAAATATACGTCACGAGGCGGCCATATCGTATCTTTGCTCCTTCGAGTTATATAATGAAGACATCTTTATTGCTTAATATTCAGTATAATATCCGATTGTTATGCCAAGCGTTGTCTGTCTAGTTATTGTAGTGATCATAATTACGACTACTGATGATGTGGTCTCGGGTTCGAATCCCAGATCGGACATAAATTGTTTATTGCATGCCTTAAGCGCGGAACGCCCAGGTACGTTCTGCTAGGGCTTAAAAATTAAGATTCCAACGTTTTGTCGTATGAAATCGTATCTAACAATCATACTATACATATAAACTAGTTTTCCAGGCAGACGTTGTTCTGCCTTTTCCAACGACCCTTCCTATAAAAATCCTTAAATTTGCAATAAAAAATTTTGAGGGTCATTTATCGGGATAAAAACAATCCTATCTCTCAAGTTGGACCAAAATGCACACAGTGTGCAAAATTTCATTGAAATCGGCTCATTATCTTAGGAGTCCATCGCGGACAAACAACGTGACACGTAATTTTTATATATAAAGATGATATAAAAAGCACACTGTCAGAAAGATAAACGATTGTTGAACTTATTAATATTTTTTTGTAAATCGATTAATTGCGCATGCAAATTGAAAGTATAATAATAAGTTTATTAGTGAAAACCTATGTGCGGTTAGGGCATGCACAATTAGATTTACCAATAGCTTTTTTGAGTTCTTCTGAAAATAAATTTGCAATAGCAACTGCGTTTCAGGAAGCCGGCCGTTTTTCTCCACCGTGCTTCGGAAATCACGTAAAACCTCGGGGGGTTTATTTACATGCTTTTAAGACATAAATAACCACTTTGAAATTTTTGTCTGTCTGTCTATTCGGGCTAATCTTCGGAATTGTTGAACCGATAGTGATGATACTTTACGAACAGATAAAGAGCAATAGCAAGAAGGATCTAGACCATAATTTATCCGAAACCTAAACAGATTTTTTTTAAATAAACGAATAATTGATAAAGACCACTTATAATTTTTTTATTAGAATAAGGGTGACAAACAGCACACCCGATGGTAAGTGGATGATGTTGCCCATAGACATCTACATTTATCCTCAATTAAGAATCAAAATGCATATGCGTTGTCACCCCTGAGGAATGAGATGGAATGCCTCGTTACCAGTGAAAAGGGTCTCTGGTACATTACACTCAACATACGAAACATAGCAGCATTAAGCTGCTATTATACGCTGGTATTCTGTGAGAGCCAACCCATTCGTGCTGCAACCTCAATATAGCTGCAGCATGGCTCTACCACGTAAACCATTCAGGTATTTGATAAACTTCACCGTAGCAGTCTATCGCGTAACACCTTATTCTTTTCGTCTGTCTAATTTAAATAAAATAATGGGTTTGTGGTGAGTGCTTAAGTCTCATTTATCGTGTCAACAGTTCTTTATTAAATGTACTAAAGCCAGTGATATTTTGTTATTGTTAAAGTATTCTGCAATTAAAACTATATCAAATAATTACAAATTAATATCGAGTTTTGTGAAGTGTTCGGACGGAACGCGTAAGCGCCGCTATATCACCGGCGCTTAGGCCGTTTTGCTCGCGACCTTTTTAACACAGAAACAGTGATACAGGTGTAGTTTTATGTTTCTGTTTCTACCGCGCATCTATCTTACATTTGAGACTACATAGCTGGATATTGTTGTTTACTCATAGAAACACTACAATGGATTGCTTTAAGTGTAAAAAAATTATTGCTGAAAGGGATGTTATTAAATGTACGGGATGTAATATGTACATGCATTATCAATGTGCTGATTTATCTGAAACAGAGTTCAAAAAAATCCTCCCTATGAATAAAATCAAATGGAAATGCCCACCCTGTAAAAATAAGAGGCTCGCTGGTACGTTAGGAGGGACAGTGTCACCTAAGTTTAAAGATTGCACAACTACGTCTATTTTAAACGTCGACACCGACGCCTTGACTGAATATATGGATGCGAAGCTTGACAGTCTGCGCCAGCAGTGGCAGGAGGACTTAAATTCAGCCATCCAAAAAGTATCTAAAACTTTTGCGCAAGATATTAATAGGTTGGAAAAACGTGTTGATTCATGGGAGGAGCGCATAAAGGAACTCGAGCAAAACTTTACGGCATCGCATAGTCCTGATGTCACCCTGATGCAGGAAAACAACGAGCTTCGCGCAGATTTGGAGAATTTACGTGCCAAGTTTGATGACCTCAACCAAGCCTCTCGCAGTTGCAACGTGGAATTACAAAACATTCCTGAAAAAAGGCTGAAAACCTGATTCATTTATCTATAGAGGTGGGTAAGCTGATTGGCGTCGATATCAAGGCAAGCGATATTAGATCTGTTCATCGCGTGGCTCCAAAGGTACCGAACGACCGTCCAAAAAACATTGTACTGCAGCTGACCACACGACGACTGCGTGATGATATGATAGCGGCGGCGAGTTCGCGCCGCACACTCACCACTACTCAGTTGTTTGGCTCTGCCAACAGTGCCGCTGCTACAGCTCAAAACACACGATTCTATATAAACGAACATCTGACACTAAAGAATAAAGTTTTATTTAGTAATGCTCGACAACTGGCGAAGTCGAAGGGATATAAATTTGTGTGGGTCAAAAACAGTTGCATTTTGCTGCGGAAAAATGACGATTCACGTGTGATTCACATTCGTTGTACTAATGATTTAAGTAAAATATGACTATTTTATTACGTTTACTTGTTTATTAATATTCCAAAAGTAGCATATTTTAGTAGTTTTATTATAAGTTTTTGTGTATGTTGTTTACAATACTCAATACAACGGGAGATCGAGATCCATAATTTTATAGCAAACAAATTTATAAATACACTTTTAATTATATCGGTTGCATTTCTTTCTCGTGATGGCTTTTAATAAGTTACTTATATTCTATCAAAATTGTGGAGGCTTAAAAACTAAGCTTACAGACTTAAAACTAAATTTACTTGTAACTTCGATATTGTAATTTTAACTGAAACCTGGCTGCTGGATACAATTTTGGATGCTGAAATTCAAACGGATGCTTATACAATATTTCGACGCGATCGGAACTGTATGTTATTTAATAAAAAGGGCGGTGGCGGGGTGCTAATTCTTGTTAAGAAATCTATCCATGTTGTTAGAAAACTTGACTTAGAGGCAACCGATTTAGAAATTATTTTTCTTCATTTCCCACATTCAAATTTATTATTGAGTGCATGCTATATACCACCAGCATCTAAAACTACTACCTATGATAAATACTTTTATATACTTCACGACATTCACTCAAAGGCATTATTCTCACATTACATTATTACTGGTGACTTTAATTTACCCTACCTGGAATGGTCATCTGATGGTCCATCCTTGAGACCTGTTAATGCAGTTACTGATACAGCTAAATTATTGTCTCATATCATGGCCTTTATGAATTTGAAACAAATTAATACATTAAAAAACGATAACAGTAGAATTCTTGATCTTGTTTTATGCAACTCACCTGATTGTTCAGTTAATATCTCCGATGATCCACTCTTAAAAGCCGTTCCTCACCATCCTCCGCTGGACATTTTTATGAAACAACTCAATCCAAGTATATGCCCACCAACCAGAAGACAAAACGAAACTTTTACAGAGCAAACTATGACCAAATTAATACTGCTATATCGGAGACTGATTGGGTTTCTGAACTCAGTTCTTCTTGTATAGATACTGTAGTTGACAAATTTTATAACAAAATTATGCATGTTATTGAATCTTATGTACCACTTGTCAAAGTTAAAACAAATAGATTTCCTAAGTGGTTCTCTAATAGCTTAATTTATACACTTAGGCGTAAATCTAAAATGTGGGCACGATGGAAAACGTACAATTCGTTACGTGACTATCAAGAGTTCTCCCTATTAAGAAAACGTGCTAAACGTCTCTTAATTAAATGTTACAATAAATATATAGAGAACGTTGAGTCTTCAATAAAGGATAATATAAAATACTTTTGGAAATATACTTCAGATATAAAGGAAACAAATACGGGATATCCTCAAGTAATGAAGCTGGGAACCAAAACTTCAGACGACCCAAAAATAATTTCTGAAATGTTTTCACATCATTTTAAATCCGTATTTGAACCGTTGTCAGACAATGCATATACATTAGCTCAACACTTAGAGGATAATTTTACTGGAACAAACTTACATGACATACGTTTCACACAGTTGGAAGTTTGCACTGCTTTAAAAAACATTGATCCAAACAAAGGCGCTGGACCTGACAAAATAAAGCCAGTGTTTTTAAAACACACTTCTAATACAATTTGCATGCCGCTCAATATAATTTTTAACAAATGTTTGGAAGCTGGAACATTTCCAACTCAATGGAAACAAGCATACATTACACCTATTCACAAATCAGGTTCTAAGAACAACGTAGAAAATTACCGTCCAATATCAATTCTTTCGGCTATTCCTAAAATTTTTGAGAAACTTATTCACGATCATATATATTCAATTTTGAAAAATACATTATTAGAGGAACAACACGGCTTTGTTAATGGCAGGTCTACACTAACAAATCTTCTTGTTTTTACTAACTATATTTTTAATAGTTTGGACTATAAATCTCAGATTGAAACTGTATACACCGATTTTAAAAAAGCATTCGACAAAGTTGATCACTTGTTACTTTTAAAAAAAATCTCCTACAATGGTATCAAGGGCAATCTTCTACGTTGGTTTGCCTCTTACTTACAAAACCGCATACAGTCGGTAGTGCTTAATGGCTACATTTCCTTACCCGTTGTAGTAACATCTGGCGTACCACAGGGATCAATACTGGGGCCACTCCTCTTTATCCTATTTATTAATGACATTTCAACTTGCTTTGATCACTGTAAATTCTTATTATACGCTGATGACTTAAAATTGTACTCTGCCATTACTAAACCTGACGACATAAAATTAATACAAAACGATTTGGACAGACTTGAAAACTATTGTAAAATTAATAAATTATTCTTGGCTTATAATAAATGCAAACACATAACATATACTAGGAACAAAAATGTAGTACATGCGGACTTTTACTTAGGTGGTCACAAAATTGTTTCAGAATTTAGTATACGTGATCTTGGAGTATACTTAGATACCAAACTCACACTAGATAGGCACATCGAAGAAATATTGAATAAATCCTACCGAATGCTAGGCTTCGTTACACGTATAACAAAATCATTTAAACACAAAGATACTCTTACCTGCCTTTATCAGTCATTGGTTAGATCTCATCTAGAATATGTGTCCCCAGTTTGGAATCCATTCTACTCAGTTTATGAAGATAAAATAGAAAAGGTCCAAAAGAAATTCTTACGTATTGTTAACTATCGAATGCATTCACCTCGCGTTTCCTATGAAAATCTCTTAACAAAATATCAAATGCTATCATTAAAAGACCGACGCACTTTAATCGACGCCACTACTTTTAGGAATATCTGTGTTGGTGATATTAAGTGTTCACAGTTATTATCCGAGGTAAGGTTTCGAATACCACCCAAAAACACACGATCAAAAAATTTATTTCATATACCAAAAAACCAGGACCAATATTGGTAAAAGAGCACCAGTACACAGAATGTGTGTCCTCCACAATAAAATGCTTAACGACATCGATATGTTCTCTATCTCCCGTTCAGCTTTTAAAACTAAATTAAAAAGTACTCTAGTAACAATTATGAATTAGATATATAAGGATATTTAGTATTTAGTATTGTACATATTAGATGATTGTTTTCAGATGATTGTTTTCTTTTTATTTAAGTACAGACTTGTTACCCTGCTTGTTGTGCAGACGATACCAGTTACGACCTGCCCATAATATAAATATTATGTATGTTCTTAGTGAGACAGTTTGTAGGAAACAATTGTAATTACCATTGTCTTATTTTACTTGTATGTTTTTCTTTCATATCTTTTGTTTCTGTTTTGTCTCCAATAAAGTAAATAAATAAATAAACTTAAATCTAAATAATTCTACATTGGTACAGCCCATGCAAAGCGGAGGCGGGTGGATATTAAATAATAAAGTATTATAAAATAAGGTCATGTATCATCGTCATCATCATCATCATGATTACAGCCTTTCATAAGTCCACTGCTGAACATAAGCCTCCCCCAAGGAATGCCACAAAGCACGGTACTGAGCCACCTGCATCCATCGACTTCATGCATGTCTTACCAGGTCATCACTCCATCTAGTGGGGGTCGCCCTACACTTCGCCTACCGGTACGAGGCTGCCACTTGAGAACTTTTCTTCCCCATCGTTTGACGGTTCTTCGAGCTATATGGTCGGCCCACTACCACTTCAGCTTGCTAATCCGTTGGGCTATGTATTACTCTGGTTCTACTGCGGATATCCTCATTTCTAAATTTATCACGCAGAGAAACCCCGAGCATAGCCCTCTCCATACTCATTTATACTCTTTCGTAACTATCACCGGGAAAAATAACAATATTAAAATAAAACTGTTCTTAATTATAACTTATAAATCAACTAAAGTGTTTTATTCACAAAAACAAAAACCAATTGAAGTGGTGTTTGCATGATGAATGTGGCACTTCGTTAATTGTGTTCATTTTCACACGGTTACATTCTGTTTCAGTTACGCCACTACATTCTGTTTGCATATTGGAATTTGGAACTAGTTTCTAGTAGTTTTTTACTGTTCATGATCTATGATTTTAGTATATTGGAATCGAAATAAATATCGATCAATTAATCAATCAATCAATTGCAGCCTATAAAAGTCCACTGCTGTACATAGGCCTCCCCTACAGATTGCTTCATAGTGGGGGTTTTCACATAGTGTCTTTGCAGGTGGGTTGGTAACGGCATCAGAAATAATCTGCTGACCATCTTCTGTTTCGCTTTTATCTGTCACCTCTTAGCATACCCACATGGCGTAAAGTTTTTTTTTTATATGATAGGGTTACAAATGAGCACACAGTCCACCTGATGGTACGTGGTTGCTGCGGCCCATAAACAACTACATCTATCTTCATTTGCGAATAAAATTGCAGATGCGTTGTCACCCGTGAGGACTAAGATGAAATGCCTCTTTTCAAGTAAAAAGGGTCTCGATATAAGGTAGTGGATATTTTTACACTGCCCCTATTCGAGTATGAAATATACTGTAAAATCGTATTTAAAACATTGATACATTCAAAGTAAAGAAAGTTACCGCATATTATCTATTTAAGATTAAATTATTGTTATATTCGTAT